GCTAAAACCACGAAATTACTGGAAACAGATTTGACTGGAGCGTGAATAATCTCGATCAAGGTCGAAAAGTGCGGGGTTCATTCTAATATGAGCCTTATGCAGTGCGGCGTAAAGGTGAAAGTGCAACGAGTCTGCACTGGTTTACTTCTCATGCGTGTTACCTACGCATAAGTAGGTGCGTCCTAGTTAACTTTGAATTAAACTGGACTTTTCTGGAATCTGTCGATTGTCATATATAAGCGAATTCGATTTCTAAACGAATACCAAGGCGATCAAAATGCAAGTAAAGTGTTCAAGTGCGATTGTTTAAAGACTTGTATAGTGTGCAGTGAGTGTAGTAGGTACTGTGTGCTTAAAAAGAACTGTGTGGTGAATAAAGAACTGTCAAGCGTGAACTGGCGTATTATTTCGAACTCCATCGTAGGGATGGACGTAATAGTATCTACGCCGCGCCTTGTCCTGTGTGCGCTGCGCCTTACTAACAGAAACAAAACACTACGAAATCATATTTTATTCAGGTTTTCAATCAGAGTGGAAAATTCGTTCTACTTATATTTATTAAAGGTGATTTGTACGCTTCCTACAGCGCAAGTTAAAATAACAATATTATGATTATAACTATAATATCGATGATCGTTTAATACTGACCTTTGATGTTGTGGTATCTGGCACGGAATATAAAATATAGTGTTAATGCGTATTAATGGCTTCATAAAGCTATCGACGAATTCAATTGGCCTTTTATCTTAATGTGGGTAAATGTTTCGAACATAAAAAGGTGCTTGAAAATAAACAAATATTATTTGTACTTAAATCCTATACTGATATTGGTAATCCAAAATGTAAGTAATCGCTCTATATGTGGTGCTTTCAAGCCTAAACCACTGAATAAACTTGCCATAACTTGAGAAGACCATCGAAAAGTATAAAGTCATTAAAAAAAAAACGATGACATTTTACATGGAAAAATATTCATATGTTTTTCCGCATACTAATTCACGAGGCACCTACTAGTAGGTAGTTCTTTAAATACACATAAAAAAATATAAGGTATTCAGTACCTTATTCCGACTGTTTATATAAAACGTTTTCAACAGTTGAAATAATTTTGAAGAATTCCGAAAAGAGATAAAGAACAAAAGCTTCTTTGGGCAGCGAAAACAAACCTATTAAATTGGATTAAACAGTGTTTATTTTCTTCGGACACCTTTAAGGTCACAGCCACAGTTCATTTGACCCAACCAGTACTGACTCAACTCGTGTGGTTAATATTCTGGTATACATTCACTACATCAACTCCGAAGCAGTCCGCGTGCGAGTGGACAACTCCGTGACCACCCGTTGCTCGCACGCTTGCTGTGTGCTGGTTATAAACACGCTGCCTGCTAGCATAACGCATTTACTTTTCTTCATAACAGCTATATGAGCCGATTCACGGTTTATAAAATTAAACATACGTATAAATCTAGTGACAATCTATTTTCACTGACAACGCGGAGTCAAATATGCAGCGGTGCGTCGTGTTTCGACTACCTGACGTTCACTGGTTGACAACGAGGCGTCCACCCATGACCCACAAGAAGTTAGCTGGTTGACAACGCGGTGTCCACCCGAGTTTGCTCGTTGACCACGAGTGGACTTCGCGCGAGGAGGCGGTGTCGGGTGTTTCTAATTCAATCCTTCCTTCCAATAAAAACCTTCAATTATTTAGTTACCGGCATAAAATTCATGATCATAATGCTCCATAAAAGATGCAAAACGATATTCAAAAGAAAACACTAACCATATTTTATAAACGCCAAGCAAACCAACTGGAAATCCGGTCAAGGTCGACGCACGCACGTCTGTTCGTTTAAAATACCGTTTTGCGCATTAAATAAATCACAAAATTTTGCTCTCAAGTATAATTCACATTCCTTCAACGGATTCGAGCGAAGCTGATTTAAAAAATCCCCGTGACGGGCGTGCCGGATTCTTGTGAATTATCGCCCTTTTTCAGGCATATTTTCTTTTGTTTCAACACAATAGAATGCCTCGTATTTAGCAAAGCGATATTATTTTGTAAAATCAGTACTTATTTTTTACACATTATGAAACGAAATCGCTATTTCAAAGTTCCATACTTATATTAGAATTGAAGAATAAAGCATCTAGCTAAGCTGACTTTTCAATTCTGATAGTTATTATAATTTAACCGATTTATGTGTAAATTATTATAGACAATATCCGTTTTTTTTCTGGCAGTGGCATAGTGTGGACTGTGGCCCTAGCCTTATTATGTGTATGTAAATGAAAGTGTGTGGTTTGGCAGTAAACTACAATCAACACAATGTCATTAGATTCCGACTTTTACCATTGGATGAAACTTCTAGGGCAGTCGAATCAGATGATGAAACCAATTATATATTTTTAGAATCGTGATACCATTCTTCTTCTAAGAAGAAACGTCGTTAAAAATAATTGGCATTCGACGATTGTATTAAAATCTCGGTGTAATCTTCAATTTAATTACGATTCAAAGTTGACATGACACTTATTTCGTTTTAGTTAAGGTCGAATTCGGATCTGCTACTAAAATTATAATTTAATTTAATTTTGAAAAGACAACACAGATAAATACAGACTTTACAGTTCGAATGTTTTGCTCTTATAAAACGCGATGTTTAGGAACGTATTAGGGTTCGTACAGAGTGGCGACGATATCGTACATCAAGTCGTCAAAGTCGCATTGACCGCTGCGATAAATAAAACGTCTTGTATCTACTAACTAATATAACAATTTATGACGCATATTAGTATATAACTAAGTGACATATATTATGGAACACAAGAAACTCGCTACCATTTTTTTCCATTTCGCATCCCGAAAAGAGAAAACACACTGTTAAAATTACCATAGGGTCAAATGGATGTAAAGTAAAAACATGATCATGAATATTCCGTTCCTTGTATGAAAATTTTATGTACTTATACAAAAATTAAATGCTTATGCTATATAAATAATATAACTATAATTGCTATTTCGTCTTTCAAATGTTTAACACTTGTAAAGGTATTCATTTGACATTATGGGTTGCCTACAAAGCGAAGAGATGGCGTTGCCTTGCAGCCTAAGGCTAGAGAAATTTCGACGTGGCCATCAGGGCCGCAGTAGCATAATGGTCAGTGCATTCGCCCGGATAGCGAAGGGTGCGGGTTCGAGTCCCGTCTGCTGTCTGGTCCACCTGGATTGTTTTTCTAGTAGTATTTTCTTTAGATTTAAATATCTAGCAGTTAAATGCTTAAAAAATAATAATATAAAAATGGATTTTGTAGCAAAAGTCTTATGGAATCGTTCAGTACCAGTAAGCCGTTTAGTTCTTAGGAACAAAACTTTTTGGAGTACAATTGAGAAGTAAAACCGAAGGGTTCATATGTTATTATGCTTGGAATGAATACCTATTTCTTGACAATGAACTGTATTTTGCCAAGTCGACAAGTCGCCGCGTCGTGCGACTGAGGTCATACGACGTCGATCGTACAATGCCCGCGCCCTAATGCGATTGCAGTATTTGCCAAATTATCATAAACATCGCTAATGTTTGTAGTGGTGTCAAGAGAAAAGCGTGAAGCTGAAACAAACCGCAGAGGGTAATACTGTACACATTAAACATTCATGACTGCAATATTTTTTGCTCTCGTGGATTCTTTTGTTTCTTTTTTTCATGTAAATGGGGAGTTTTATTGAAGTTCTTTAACGCTATTTTGGTACCTACGCTACGTCTTCCTGCAGTGGAGAAAGTCTAAAGAGAAAAATTTAATCATGGCGAATACAGCTAGGGTTCGGCATTATTATAATGAGTGTTACACTCTGGTATTGATTATGTCATATAGACTATTGCAGTTTACAGCTTGTTGTCAATCATTTTATATTTATAACTCTTTCCTTGGGGGTATGGGTATAGGAACCAATATTAAGTAACCTATGTGTGTTATAAAATCATCGTGGCGTACGTTGAACCTACTAGTGATTAAGAAACGAATAATTGGGATCTCAAAGTTGAAAGTTATTTTATTATCCTGTTGTCAGACAACTTGCCGACAAATAAAGGACGCTGAGTCTTATAGGTAAAAAAAAGGATTAATTCAAAAGCTTAAATTTTTGCCAAATATTTTTTTAAGCCACAACAGATACGAGTATAATATCAAATCTCCTTGCTTCTCATTTTGCAGCATAATCGCGACGTATTCCGCCAGAAATTCTATCTAAACTATCCGGTCGATGAGAGCTCTTCTACATAAATAGTCTAATATAAACAATGTCTCGTTATTTAGGACGCACCTCGACGTCTAATCGTCGCCGTATTATCACAGAGTAAAGTGAACGCAAATATTTCAGCTGTGAATTTCGCTCAAAATTATTAGCGATTGTAGAGATACAGGTATTTAGTGAATCCTTTGTCTTTGAATGTGTAAGCTTCTAATAATAATGAAAATAAGGACTGTCCGTTAGTGCAACTCCATGAAATAGACCGCCATAGATGCAGACATCTCACTTTTTAGATAAAAAGGTATTAAAAGGTCTCTTCATGTTGGCTTTGGCCCTATTAATACCTCAAAAGCCCAGGTTCTCATAGACACGTGATTAAAATTGTACCAACATAGTAATAAAAAATAATCTTTCTTGATTTGTTTCTTATGTCTAGACATATTAATGTTTGTTTCTGTAAAACTGCATAAACAGAACCTTTCCCGTACAATAATTCGGGTCTTGAAAATAGCCGCTTTATGCGAGTACCTACTGCACGACTGATTTTCGTGGATTTCCTTAGGGAGACCTTAGCCCAGTGAACGGTAAATTGTATGGTGATGATTTCTATTTATACATCTCACGATGCAAGTTCTCTGCAATACTTTGCTGTTTAATGTTGAAATCAAACAACCGCCCACTCAACAGTAACTAATAACTAATAATAATAACTTTTTATGATACTCAATTTTTGCACAACGAGCGCGAGTTGTTACCGCTTGCACACGCATCTGTGAACTTTTACAAAAGCGTCTCTCAAGCGCGCGACGCAAGCGATGCAACTCTCGCTAGCACTGGTAACAAGCAAACGGTCTGGGAAGTCGTAAATCCTTGCACCTTTTTTTACCACCAGAAACATAACACCATCAAAAGGTAGTGTTTTTATTAACGGCGTTCGACTGCGATATAACCTATGCTCTTCCTCTCCTAAGCTATGTAAGATTCTACGTCGTACTACAAACTACCTACTAAAGCGTGACTGACGTTAGTTAGCCATATTCATCAGGCAATTTAGGCGAGCACACCGAAGTTGGCATCGCAAATTGGATCGGGTCTATGTGGCAAATGGAATTTTGAATATTGTGCAGAGCCGCAGTCCAGATTGCGTTGTAATTTTCTGATTATCATAACACAAGCGCTATATTTACCAATAGAGAATAATGCATTTGTATAATTCGGTGTAATTTACATTATGTTTATCAACTTTCAAAGAGTTAAAGGTCTAATAATAATAATGTAATACTTTTCTTTTAATATCTAATGTGCTTACAACTAACTCCTAACTGGATTAGATCAATGTATGTATTTGTATTTATACTTATTGTATGTATCTTATGTATCTTATATGTGTATGGTGTATGTATGTATATACTAATATGTTATATATTTTAATAGCGATTTACACTGCCGTCTCTCCGGTTCCTTCTAGTCCTCTCCATCCAAAGGTTGCCTGGAAAAGATCTCTTTAAGCATTAAGCCGCCCATTGCATCACTTATACTAGATTGTTTTGTGCTTAATGTTCAAGTTTTTCGTGGTGTATAATAGTTTTTGTATTGTATTGTATTATAATAATAATATTTCCAACACTCACCTAATTAGCCTAGCCCCAAAGTAAGCACTGTAGCTTGTGTAATGGGATACTAGGTTAACGGACAGAATACATATACTGATACAAATAGAAGTTTATTTATATTGAAATACATATTAAACATCCATGACTGGAGTACAAATGCTCGTATTTATCATACAAACATCTGCCCCCACCGGGATTTGAACCCGGACTCTCGAGTAGGCGACACCATGAAACCTGGCGTACAAACCACTCGGCCACGGAGGTCGTCAAAATGGCAGCAGTATTGCTAAACTAGAAGCGTGTATGATATATCTATAACTTTTAAACATCATAGAAGCAGTTGATATTCTTTGTATAGATTTCTATGGAGATGATCTCACTACAATCCATAGCGGCACCGCCTCGCCTCCCCTCGCTTGCTCTTTTTGTATCTACTTCTCAAAGTTCTACCAGTCTTTCTGAATAATTCTTTCTCTAAACTATAATTTTTCAGATTTTCGTTGTCTATTCCAGTTACTTGAATTAAATATTCTTTGTAAACGGTTAAATATTTATTAAATTATGTCAACCTTTTAAATACTTATTTATTTACTTATTAAAATATTACTAAACTAATGTTTTTTTTTTTGTAAATAAGCTAGTTTTTTGCTATTTGCTAAAATATGTGCTTAGAGTACAAATTTTTGATCAGATAAGAATTTATTTTACTCCTAACAACTTAACCACAAGACTGCCAAAAAGGAATGTTTGAAGAAGAAGGACCGTGAAGAACTTTATGTACAAAGAAAACCTAAGCTTAGATAAATGACCTTTTCTGATTACGGCCCTTCTTTAGATAAATTTAATCAAGTGTCCGTTTATAGAGATAGGTCATGAGATTTAATTTGAAATGAGTCAACTTGATAAAGCTTAGGCCCCGTATTGTTTAGTTAGTTCTAGCTATTATTAAACTTGCTTCTGACCGCCACTTCACTTAGTTTGATATTTTTATGTTTGAAGAAACTTCCTTGGTCGAATGATCCAATTTGAGAACAGAAGTATTAGTAGCCTAGCAAAATTTGTTGCAATGGAAAATCCACATGGAAAGCTGAGCTTATATGTATTATATTGTTGTACTTACTAGCATCCCACTTCGGATTTCCATGGGAGAAAAATATTTTCGCACAATAAAATATAACCTATAGCAATCAGGAACAATATCTTTAGTTATTGTTTTCAGACCAATATCAATGTCTTTCTATATAATTAACGCTCAAACTTACAAACTTTACGTCCAAATAATATTCATCATAACAAGCCTATTACTGTACCCACTGCTGGGGCACAGGCCTTCCCTATGGATGGAATAGGGAGAGAGACAGTGCGGGTTGTTGGGTGCTAACGACTGCAGATGCAGCCGGGATACACGGTTTAAAGAACTTTCCGAAGCACGGAGGGGCTCGAGATAGTACGTTTTGGTCACCCATCTAATGATCGACCATTTCGAAAGTTGCTTAACTCCCACGATCGCAGGCTAAACGCGCTACTCACCTGCGCCATCGAGCTTAATAATATTAGCATAGAAGAATACGCTGAGGTCTACTATAAAAAGTATTGTCTAGTGACAAGCTTAAAGACAAACTAGAAGCATCGCAAGTCACTCACAAAAGCGGTGCTAGCAGTGTGGCCAATTTCGATAATAGGCATGCCTGTTTACTATGATTTGTCTGTATTCACTACCTTAGAGTACATTACTTGAGTGACTAATTTAGGACTAGATACGCTGTTTTCTTAACATTATTCAAATTCGAATAGCAATGAACAAAACAGCGACGGTTTTACTACAAAAAAGTCAGACTCTGTTTTAAAAACCATATTCAAACTAATTTTGTATGACATTTTTTCTTAGGCTTGTGTTGAACGCATGACTTAATTTTTCTGGTAATAAGAAGAATGAGTTCTTTTTTTCAAGTCACTTTTGTATTTAGCACTTTTTCTTTGATAACAACATTTGTCTAATCTTCGCTACATCTTGTAATTTACACCGCACCATGATAGTTTGTCAAGATCATGCAGAGATTATTTTCGTGTACAGCCAAACGACCTCGCACCGCTGGCTGCTGTGACATAAGAATGGGCGTAAACGATGACTACTGTTTTGCGTAAAGTAATTAGGCAGGTGTTACTTTAGAGAACAGTAATGACGCGTTTTGCATGAATAATTTTAGTAATTCAATAGGCTTACGAACTTTTTGTTTTCAGAACAGTTGCAAAGGCAAATCACTGTCGTTTACGTTGGAATCAACAAAAAATGGAATTGCTAATAATTTTTGAATCGTTTCACACTGACTAATCGCAAGACAGATGTTTCAAAATTCAAATTTAAAATACAAATGCTTGGAGACTTGGTGAGTATGAATTAATGGATTTTGTTTTGGATTAATGTTTAAAAAGTGGCGTCTAGAACACTTCTGGTGGTAGAGTATGTGCGGAACCAGAATGGGATTTATATTGGAGGGCGCTTTAGTGCTTTTCTACCGTATTTGTAAGGTTTTACCCCTTTTAGACATGATTAAATACAAAAAACCGCAAGAAATCACAACAACAAACAAATCCGTATCAATACAAAACTTTGACGTTTTACAGATTGCTGGGTTTGATTGCCAAATATAATTCTTATTGTTAGTTCCGTTTTTCGCCACGCCCATTCTCTTTTCGCACAGACTATACAAGTGTAGAAGTTATAAATTCATGAAATGTGACGAGTGTGATTGCGAGTCACATCACAATAGATCATAAAGGTCGCAGTGACTACAGAAATCTCAAATAATGATAAAAGCTCTTATTATCGATTCTTTGTGATTCAAAGTTTGTCGCTTATATACGATTGGTCGTGCGATTGTTCCCCCAGTTTTTCTAAATGTAACGATAAAGATATATAGTAGTTATTAGACATCATAGATAGAAACTCAAAAATTTATGATGATATTCTAAAGTACTTTTAGTTTCAATTACTGACGTAGTCTTGGCTGTATCTTCCAATTATAGAAGTTTGCTTCGTAGTTATTGAAAGGCTGTCAGAGGAATAACTTGTTTCCAAAACCGTTGTAGAATATAGGTCGGTAATAAATCACTACTGACTGTTTCCTATAGCTTACGAGAAACAACTTTGCCACACGTAGGATTGTTAGCGTGTGTAACTATTACTAATGCGATTTAGTTAGCATTCATTGCAAACTACTTTACAAAATTTTTATTTAACAAAGAAATTTTAACTAAAATGGCAACAGGTACACCCTAAGTACCATTAAATTAATGGCTTACACAAAGCTAAACTCAAAATCCAATAAGCGTCAAGTGAGATATTGCTTTCGATTTTTAGTTGGTTCAACATATTAACTTCATTATAATAATAATAAAATAAATATTTCCAATACTCACACCAATTAGCCTAGCCCCAAAGTAAGCACTGTAAGGCTTGTGTTATGGGATACTAGGGTAACGGATACAATACATATACTTACTGATACATTTATAACATATTATATAGAAATACATATTAAACATCCGAGACTGGAAAACAAATGCTCGTATTTATCACACAAACATCAGCCCCCACCGGGATTCGAACCCGGGATCCTTTCGAGTAAGCGACACCTTGAAACCCGGCGTTCAAACCACTCGGCCAGGCCGCGAAAGTCGATTCTCTAAAGTGTGTATTATTCAAAATGGGGAACGTGTAAGCCTGAACAGTAGTAAAAAGTATTAAACAAGATTGCAATTTTCTGAACAGAGTATGGAATATTATATTTTATATGTGCGGAATATATTCCAACATACTTGGCTCTAGAAAATATTTTACGACGAGAGTACCGCGGAGGCAGTATACAAACTGTCTGGGGTGTCGAGTTTATACACATGTCCACAATAAGCGGACCGTGTAAAGCGTGTCACACACAACGAAGATAAGATAATATATCGCAACTAAAACTAATAGTCGGCGGTTTCGGTCCTTATATAGAGTGTTTAGTTCTTGCGATGAAACGTTGTTGGAAAAAAACTGGCTGTTGCTAGACTTACTTGACAGCTCGTCTGATGACGAATGAGACAGTGAATTCGATAATTATGTTGCATCAAGAAGAAAAAATAGTAAAATCTGGTTAGAGGATCACATAAGAAATAAAAAACAGAAAGGTGAATTTAATCTTTACCAAGATCTTTTTGAAAGTATAAATTTACCATATACTTTAGAAACCCAAGGGCTAAATTTAATGAACTTCATGATTTAATTAAAGAAGACATAAAAAAAAGAAACACACACATGCGATATAGCATATCTACTCAGGAGCGACTTGCTATATGTTTACGGTAAGTAAATGAAACAGTGCTATGTAGTAAATCAATATTGTACAGGGCATTGTCTAAGCTAGATAGAACCACAGAGTAACTTGTTATAAATGGATAGAACATTCTGTAGTTTATCTTAAGATAAATGCCCTGATTATGTTAATCTAATATTTCAATATCTTAAGATGTCGTTGGTATATTACGATATATTTTATATATCGGCAGTATCTTAAGATACTCGGATGTAAAATATATATTATATTAATTGTGTGTGGTGGTCCATTGAAATGTATGGTTAGCGATATGTCGAAGATAAGATATATTGTATAGTATTTTTATTTTTTTTATTTTTAGCATTCTGTGTGACACGCTTAAAGGAAACATAAAAAGTTAAAATATTTATTTCTCAAACATGCTTGGAAGCGTGAACATTAGTTTGACAACCTTCTTCGAGATAAATCGAAATTTCTGTATATGCGAGGAACGGCTGGCAAAAGTTGTATCTAAATCCATAGATGCCGTGTTTAGCGGCCAAATAATAGATAAGAGATTATCTCTTATCTAATAGACAAGTCCGTCCGTCCGTCCGTGGTGCTGTTTCAGCGGCCAAACCGTAAGAGATAGATATAGAGAATGTTTAAGTTATAAGTTAAGAATAGTCTGATAAGACTACAAACCGGATGTGAGTAACGTAGTACTTCCGGTTTTCGAGAAATCACGAATTTCAAACGAAACCACACAAAATCTCCGAAGTTCTCAATTAATTAAATACATTTTTTTTTGGTGAACATTTGGTTCACTGGTTTGCTAGTCTTATCTATTAGACAAGTCCGTCCGTCCGTCCGTCCGTCCGTGGTGCTGTTTCAGCGGCCAAACCGTAAGAGATACATATAGAGAATGTTTAAGTTATAAGTTGAGAATAGTCTGATAAGACTACAAGCCGGATGTGAGTAACGTAGCACTTCCGGTTTTCGAGAAATCACGTGATTTCTATTTCAAACGAAACCACACAAAATCTCCGAAGTTCTCAATTAATTAAATACTTTTTTTTTTTTGGTGAACATTTGGTTCACAGGTTTGCTAGTTATGTAGTAATCTCATATCTGTCGCGTAATTTAAAATTCGAATATTCTTTGACTCCGAAACATGGCAACTAAGGAGGTCACCATAGAGCGGTTGAAGTTTTTGGCGGGATTTCATCGAGTGCGGTTGGCGTCTTATTTTAATTATTCTTAAATTCGTTCACAATGGATATTGTAAAATAAAATTGGTGTGATTTTCTATTACAACTGCCTGCGCAACTGAAGAATTAGTGGAATCTTTAAAATATACGCTATTCCGGTCAAGTGGACGTGAGAACTTTATAGTAATGTTGACTACCTCACATAAGCTTATCGCCAACTCGATACATTTCGTGCCAAACATTCCAAGAGATATTAGAATGCGTCACACCGACATTCTAATGTAAAAAAAGAAAATTAATATAACTTATAAGGCTAGGCTGTATGGGCATTATTCCCTTTGCCTTTCCTAAAAAGGGAAAAATCTTAAAAAGAACCATACGGGTTATTAAACGTTTTAATCAAATATCGAATGGGCTTACAAAAAGCAAGTTGTTTATTGAAAAAAAAAACAACTGAACACTTTGACGCGAGGGAAATGATCGTGGTTAGTTGTTCGTCACTGATTTTGAAAAGTGATTATTTAGTTTTGATTTCCGAGTATTATTTCAGAAAATTACTATACAAGCCTTGGCCATAACTAAATATTGATAGTCTTACGTATGTGTGGCCCACATATATACATTCGTCCATCAATGTACTATAGAATAGGTTGGCACTAACGTTCAATCCACCGTCCTAATGGAACGTCAAAGTAGTTCGCGCGAACTTTGTTCATACGCATTAATGGCCAGTTTCAATAATCAAACTCCAGTAAAAAATAAGCCTAATCTCGCGCTTATTTCAATTCTTAAAACTATAATAACATCTGTTGCTAAGGAACGGAACCAGATTACCCATACCTTTTACTAGAGATTACACATTTAGAGATTGAGATACATTATTGAATAAAATTTCGTGTTTTAAAAAAACGAGCGAGCCTTACAGTAGTTGTGTATGATGTGTAACATTTGGAACCTCACCTTACCTATATTAGTAAAAACAGAAATAAAACCTACTACAAAAGAAATAAGCCATTTGAACATTATATTCTAAAATTAAATCAAATAGCGCGCGCTTTCGCGACTTCTTGTTACACACTTCCGTCCCACTTTACGAAATCACTCCCACAAATTGCAGAAAAGCGAGAGGAAAGATGTTACACATCAAAAATAAAAAGTAGGTATTGGACATTATAAGAAAGGCACAAAAATTTTAATTATTTTGTAACCGTTGAATATTTTAATTTTAAGAATGAGGTTGTTGCGTAATATACATACACACACACACACACACACACACACATATATATATATATATATATATATATATATATGCATCCTCAATACAATACAGACATAGCACCTTAAGATTATCATTTATTCGCTCTTTGCAAAACTCTTTAAATGGAGTTAAATTGCATTCACATAAACCTCAAAAATTTTATAGCGACGGGATCATGGTTCTACCAGAAAATTGGTGAACAATTGACGAATTTAACTGACATTACCTCATTCAATAAACATTTCATGTAACTGAAAGAAATACCTTTAGTATATTTACTACAAAAAACCGCGAACTTTTCCGGCTACCTAAATATTAATGTCGAATAAATTCCTGATTGAAATAAACTCATATTAAATAAAATAAATAAATAAATATTTCCGACACTCCCACCAATTAGCCTAGCCCCAAAGTAAGCACTATAAGGCTTGTGTTATGGGATGCTAGGGTAACGGATATAATACATATACTGTACATATATAAGTATATTTATATACATACATATTAAACATCCATGACTGGAGTACAAATGCTCGTATTCATCACACAAACATCTGCCCCCACCGGGATTCGAACCCGGGACCTCTCGAGTCGGCGACAGCCATGAAACCCGGCGTACAAACCACTCGGCCACGGAGGTCGTCCAAAATATGTTGTAACAAAATTCATACGAATTATTTAATGAAGATCGCGAATTCGCGTATCAATAAAACAGACGTACTCGTGCGTGCTTGTAACACCTACGCTCGGGTGTATCGAAATGTCTCAACAACACAAGAGTAACCTTCTTATTAACTGTAAGTTTCAGTTATTTGCGGATGACTTGAAATTTTATAGGGTTATACGCACTACTAATGACATTAAACTGATTCAGGATGACTTGAACAGAGTGTAACAGTGGTGTATACAAAACCAAATGGAACTTAATGTAGAAAAATGTCACCATGTAAAGTTTTCACGAAAGAAAAAGTCATTACAGTCATCTTATGACATTAGCGGGAATCTTTTACGGACGGTTAGTGTGATGAAGGATCTTGGTGTAATCATGGATAGCGAATTGCGCTTTGGGGCACATATCGATGCAGTAGTTACTAAAGCAGCACGTATGTTAGGATTTTGAAGCGCAATACAAAGAAATTTAAACTAGTTTCGACTAAAATTGTTTTGTTTAATGTGCTAGTCCGGAGCCATCTTGAATATGCTAGTGTGGTGTGGTCTCCATTTTATGCAGTGCATTCTCAGCGAGTTGAAGGTATACAACGTTCTTTTACAAGACATTTGGCATTCTTCTCTCAAGACATTTCTTATAGATCCTGTACGATCAGCGTTTGAAGTTTTTCAAAATGAATATCCTGCGAGGACGTCGTAAATTTCACGACCTGATTAGTGTGCACATCAGGTATTATTTGTGAATTTTTTCTTTGTTTTTTGTATGTGTATGCTGTTGGCGTGGCTAATAAATAAATAAATAAACAAACCTTCTTTCGCAAGCACCTTTGCCATAAGGCGCTGGCTAGAATCCGCGCTGAAGTGATATCGCGAAAGCGTTTACCACATAGCATAGCTGAGACAGCGTCCTATTGGCCGTACACGTCACGCACCTTCGTACGTAAATAGTTATATAGTATATATTTTATTATTATAACTATTTTTTTTACATTAAATAGGCTTACGCTTGACAGCCATGCGCCTGATGAAGAGCGACGTAGCAGCCTCAGGGCGGCCGGGCTTGCCTTGAAGAAACCGATTCACTCGCGACTTGAAGAGCCCCAGATTATAAGTGACTGGAAACAGAGATTCCGGCAAAGAGTTCCACAACCTAGCTGTTCTGACGATATGGGTAGAAGCAAACCGTTTAGTACGAGTTTGTGGGACTTCTACGGTATATCTGTGGCGTTTTGCCAATGTCGATGTTTATGCTGTGAAGGCGAATAAAATGTTTTTCTTTCTTTCTTTCTTCCCGTCTGGGGAAGTTACAGAAGATCATAGTAAAATCAGGGTAGTTCCACACATAGACAGGCCGGCATTATTTGACACAACCGGGCGGTAAAATCGAATTTATGTAGATGAATGTTCAAGAAGAGACCGCTCGGTTTTCACTAGGCGGGCAGCATCAGCGGGCCGGCAGCCACTGGCATGGCTGGACGGTAAAACAGAAATATGTAGTTGAATGTTCAGGAATCAAAACCGAGCGGGTTTTGAATTTTAAGTTCAGCTAAGACTGTGAGGTAAAGACGTCGTGTTGTTAGTTTCTGTAAGTTTTTGTTATTGCCGGCTATTTACTACGAAAACCCCGAAGATTTTGGGTGCGAAGTGACCTGCAATATCCTGACAATGAAGATAAAAAACTGATCTGAACTTATGGAGTAGTTGCTCAGGAGGTCTACTCTATTTCAAAGCAAAACAAAATTTCGGTCGAAATTTCGCACGTTCATTACTCTGCTTCCGTCTCATTTCAAAAATTCGTTCTCCAAGTTATAATTAAATTCTCCAAGCCTACTCTATTTCACAAACCTTTCGAAGGAAAAGTTGATTTGACAGATAATTGTTCGAAATATTAACCTCAAATTGACGATATGAAACGTGTTAACTTTTCATTTTCGTTTTGAGATTTTTGTTTTTATTGAGCCTAAAATGCTGGCAAGAGTATTTTTAATCAAGGCTTCTTAGCTCGAGAAACATTTTTAGTATGTTAAATTATGAAATAAACCATTTTTTTTATTATTTATTGTTATTCCAATACTTCAAAGTATTAAACGACAAATTTAGGTTGACATCCAATAGATTGTATCAATTCTTCAAATTAGTTGGCTAACACTGTCAAAGAAGGTTCTTTCAATGCCATCAAAACTTTTGCCGTAAGGTGCCTTTACTGTTTCCAAGTAAAAAAACGCAATCTTAAAAGTAAAGATAAAAAGAACTCACAAACATGACTCATTCTCATTATTAGTTCACGAAAACTGTTTGTGGTTCCGAAGTTTATGTGCCTGTTCGAAAATGAAATACAGTAGAGTCAATGGCGAAATTTCGTTATAAATTCGTTCGTTACCGAAATTTCGTTTAGAGAAAGAGTCAGGCACGTAATACGCTTGCTTGCCACCCTTTTTGACATAAAAAAAGCTTTTTCAAAGCTTGGATACAGATACAGACACTATTCCACAAAAACTCACTAACGCTCATGAAACCGGGTAAGCGTAAGTCAGATTCATACACGAAGAGCAGTACCCCTAGCACGAACCATTATCGGATTCGAATAGTTTGCAAACCGAAATGTCAATGTCAAATTTTGTATGGAAACTTGAACAGCAGCGGCACAAAGTATGTAACGAGAACTAAAAATCAGTACACATTTGACAATGACATTTCGGACAAAACGATATGAATTAGATATTGGTTCGTGCTAGGGGTACAGCTTACCTTGTATTGTTAGCCAGAACCAATTCTCCAGGTGCGTGGAGCTGGATTTCTAAATTTGCAATAAAATACTACAGAGTATTTAATAGGGATGGTGACTAACTTTTTTGAAATGTAACCTCTTTTAGGACACTATAGGAGTGTACACTCGTAAATTTAACATGTAACTCGTGTTGTCCTGCAACCCTTTAACAATAAAAATAACAACAACAAGAAAACATCTGTAATTTTCTTCGTCTATCAGGTAGATTATCAAAAAGTGTTGGACGAGCATTTTTTCTTTATGCACATAATGAAAAAAATACAGAGAGAATAATTATATTGATTTGAAATGTCACGTGATGTCACCTCTTGGTACAATTTTTACTTAGAAGTGACGTCACGAGCGGCCACTCCCAAACTTTGACGTGCTTTAATTGCTTCTTTGTAATTTTTTGGTCAATTGACAAACGAAAAAATTAGTGTCCATTATTTTTTGATAATTTAACTGACGGACTAAATGAAATTTCGTTTAATTTACCCCGTCATCATTCCCTATTAAATAATAAATAATACCAATTAGCCTAGCCCCAAAGTAAGCACTATAAGGCTTGTGTTATGGGATACTAGGGTAACGGATAGAATACATATACTGTACATATATAAGTATATTTTTATAGAAATACATATTAAACATCCATGACTGGGCCCCACCGGAAATTGAACTCGGGACCTCTCGAGTCGGCGACACCATGAAACCCGGCGTACAAACCACTCTGCCATGGAGGTCGGAGGAAGTTAATAGATGAAAAAGATATTCAGATAATTATGTTCATAGTGTTTACATATCTTACAGTGTAACTGAAGCGGAATTGATAGGAAAGGAAATCAATATTATTTGTACCCGCATGCGACGTACAGAAAAGCGTTCAGTGCTCTCCCGTATGTTAAAACATAATAATGAACTGTTTACATTCAGGGTTATCTACCTCTATTGATTCTTTATATGTTCAGAGATCTTACACGTTTATTTAAAAATAGAATGAACAAATTGCTTATTTAAGTTCAGAACACAAAATTATATAAAGAAAATATAACTAGAAAAAGAAATTTCACGCGGACCAGGCAGCAGACAGGACTCGAACCCGCACCCTTCGCAATCCGGGCGAATGCACTGACCAATTATCCTACCGCGGGCCTCACGGACCGCGTCGAAATTCTTCTAGCCATTCTTAAGCTGCAAGGCAGCGCCATCTTATAGGTAACCCACAATGTCAAATGAATACTTTTACAAGTATTAAACATTTGAAAGAAGAAATAGCAATAATAGTTATAAATTTTATTATTTTTAAAGCATGTAACTGCTTGATATTTAAATCTAAAGAAAATATAACTAGAAAAAATTTCAATCCGGGCGAATGCACTGACCATTCGGACGCAGAGTTCATTACTAATCTCCGCTGTCCGGTCCTTTGAGCAGGCTTTAGATGGCTTAATTATTTACAGAGACCTCGTTCTATGACCAGAAATTTTTGATGAACTTAAAAAAATCAAATCAGTAGTTTCAAAATAACATCAATTAACTGGTAAATTAGGAGTACAAATCCCTTTTGTTTTGTAGTTTTCGAAGACTCATAGACTACACCTCAGATTACAGACTACACCTCAGATTACAGAACAAATGGCGACAGGAGCGACGAAACACAAAACGCGTGGCATCATAGCAGTACATTGTAACGCATCGATTTGTAATACGTCCCGTGAATATTAAGTTCTTATCAAAACTGTGCCGCCTTGTCCAAGTGGAATTCTTCACCCGCGCACGTGTTCCCCCTCCCTCCCTCCTTCCTATAATCTGGGGTCCTTTAAGAGAGGCGTGAAGAAGCAGTTTTGCAGGCCGGTAAGGTAAGGATGGTTGGTGTAGCACTTAATAACTGCTGTACCAGCTATCTGCGCGTTTGGACTTTATCACCACTTAACATCAGGTGAAGTAGAGTCATTTGCCTCCCTCGCTATAAAAAAAACTTTCTAAAAACTGTTCACATAGACAAAAATAGTCTTTATTTTTGACATCGTATTTGATTTGGTGGCCGCATTTGCATGTTCCGTGCGTTCCATCTGCCTTTTGTTCTGTAGTCTGAGGACTACATAATACTCAGCAAGTAAGACAGTACGGAGAACAAATATTACCTACTAGCGGCCACCCGCGAGTTTTTGTAGGATCCCTCAGTATCCTCACATTTTACCAGGATAAAATGTTACCTATGTCACATTCCAGGTCCTAAATTATATGCGTAACAAACTTTATCCAAATGCGCTTAGTAGGTTTTGCGTGATTGAATAACAAACTTACAATCTAAAGAAAATATAATTAGAAAAAAATCCACGCGGCCAGGCAGCAGACGAGACTCAAACCCGCACCCTTCGCTATCCGGGCGAATGCACTGACCAATTATGCTACCGCGGCCCTGATCGACGCGTTAAAATTCCTCTATCCATTCTTAAGCTGCAAGGTAGCGCCATCTCTTCGCATTGTAGATAACCCACAATGTCAAATGAATACTTTTACAAGTACTACAAACAAACAAACTTACAAGTTTCACATTTATAACTAGCGGCCCGCCCTCGCTTCGCTTCGGTGTAGAGCTGAAGTATAGACTACACTTTTTGTTCTCAGGCTTGTATTATACACAATGACATTCATCTATGATTCTTCTTATACCTGCATGCAAAGTCTCAGCCCGATCGGTTTAAAATTGACAAAGTTTCATACAAACTTTCATTCCCTATTTTATCCCCTTGGGGGTAGAATTGATCAAAATCCTTTCTTAGCGGATGCCTACGTCATAACATCCACCTGCATGCCAAATTTCAGCCCGATCCGTCCAGTGGTTTGGGCTGTGCGTTGATAGATCACTATGTCAGTCAGTCACCTTTGAGTTTTATATATATAGATATTAGTAGGACTAGGAAGTGGCAAAAGTGCGCTGAGTAAGTATTTAAAGTACTTCAATCTCGAAATTAGACGCTGTTAATCGTTCTACCATTGTTTTTGCCTATTAGGCACTTTGCTGAATCTGCGGGTACTATTGACCGGATATTGTTCAAATTGTAGGCTCCACGTAAGTTTGGGACATTATACGGGTATGTGCTGATTTCATTGAACGAAATCTCAAAGGATGATGATTAAAAATCAATTTTTAAAACTTAAAGTATATTCTGTATGTACATTTTGTAGAACTGTTGAGTAAATAAGTGAAGAATTAGAAAAAAACGAAGAAAAGATGAAACTTTTTAGAATACTTTTGGCAGGAGTCAGTTTCGAAAGTGTATGCTAAAGCTACATATATTTTATCGTGTAGTTAACAAATTGTTTTGTGATCCCTTCAAACATTAATAGGGCCCACTTGCGTCAAAGTTCCTGATTCAAATTTAGGGTTAATCGTGTTTTACATATCAATCAATCTTTTTCATTATTTAAAGTTAAACAGAGATAGAATAATGCATAAACATGATAAGCTTTTAAATTAGAATTATGAACTTTGGTGAAAGTAGGCCTAAATCTACTAATCAACTTTGATTTTAGTTCAACTACGTAAGAAGACTTACCGAGAATAGTTCCCCGAATGAGATGACTTTGGTGGCATCTTTCAACTCGGGTGGCAGCAAACTCTTGCATGGTGTTTTGCCATATTGGTTGATGATCTCGCATAGCTCTTTCATTTCTGTACAAACTCGGGCCTGGGCTTCTGCCCCTCTATATTCAGTCATTGACCCGGGAATAGGTCTGTAAAAAATAAACAAACAGGACAAGCTAAATAAAACCGTTTAAGGAATAAGGCTAATTAAAACTGTCTACCGGTATGCGTGAAAAAAATAACAAGCAACAAACGAGCTTCTCAAATGTTCTGAATTTGAAAGTGGCTGTCAGATTTTAGCGAATCAAATGATAAAACACTAAAAGGGCCTAAAAGAGATGGCGCTGCCTTGTACCTAAAGAAATACTAGAATGAATTCGACATGGCCATTAGGGCCGCGCTAGCATCCGCCCGCATGCTACTGTCTGTGCATCCGCCCGGATAGCGGAGGGTGCGTTCAAGTCCCGTCTGCTGCACATTCAGCAGTTAAATGTTTAAAAAATAGATACGTTATTATTAAATTTCTCTGAATTTCTTTGTAAGTAGTTAAAAACTGAGTTCTCTGACATCTTTATTATATACTAGTGGCCCGCCCTCGCTTCGCTTCGGTGTAGAGCTGAAGTGTAGACTATAGTTATTGTTCTCAGGCCTGTATTATACACAATGACATTCTTCTTATACATATACTTCTTAGCATGATTCAGTATTCACGTGCGACGGCGCGATGGCTTATTTCATGTAAAGTTTGGTGTTTCTATACCGATTTCTATGATTCTTTTTTTATGGAATAGGTAATAATGTTAACTTTTTTAAATTAGGGATGAGTGAGAGTATTATAAACGTAAGAGTAAACAAATATAATCAGAATACTCCGAACTGCTAAGCTATCAGGAGTTACACGTGTTATTGTGAATCAACCATAAAAGATAGACATATGCTGTTGCGGGATATTTTGTAGGCAATTCTATGTAGAATATTTCCGTCATACATGATTTCTATGTAACTTTAACCATTAAGGCAAGGCGTGTGTAACGCAATGGAAGCTAAAAAATGGAGTAACTTCTCCCGTTTTCCCAACATTTCCCTTCACTACTCTGCTCCTATTTACTGTAGCGTGATGAAAAGTATACTATAACCTGCCCAGGAGTATGAAGAATAATTGTACCAAGTTTCGTTAAAATCCGTCGAGTAGTTTTTGTTTCTATAAGGAACATACACACAGACAGACAGACAAAAAATTTACTGATTGCATTTTTGGCATCAGTATCGATCACTAATCACCCCCTGATAGTTATTTTGAAAATATATTTCATGTACAGAATTGACCTCTCTACAGATTTATTATAAGTATAGATATAGAAACCTAAGTCAAAATTTAATTAAGATACGTTTGAATAATATGCCACCATAAGGCTGTCGTAATCTCAGAAGTGCCCGCATCCCAGTCACATCACCGAATGTGAATATTTATTATTAAATGCTTTTGTGTAAACCTGAGTTGTATTTTTAAGAAAACGCTTTGGTAAATTTTGAAATGTGACCATTTCATGAAATTCTCGAGCATTTCATGAAGTGAGCAAATCTACGATATGGCCACGACATATAGATGCACTGACTTATTTGTTTATTAACATTTCGCATCCTTTTCAGGCTATTTTCAGGATAATTCTGACGAAGCAGCCTGAAAAGGATGCGAAACGTCAATAAACAAATGAATCATTGCATCTATACCGTTGAAACTTGTTTTATTTATTAGTATGCAAGTTTATTATTTTCAATTTCAGTTGACCTAAAGCAATTATCAATATAATCCGAAATAGTATAATAATAATATTTCGGAATTTAATATTATATGTATGAGTTGGATTTAAATCATTTTGAGAGGTGATTTTTCGAAGACTTGAAAGAGGACAGGAAGTAAACATCAATGAATAAATATCTACCAATAAGTGGGTATCATTTTTGCCTTAAAAATACCCATCACGCGGTTAATAATACTTATATCAATGATATTTTATGCGTAAGGAATATAGAGCACAGCGAAATAATGATTCCAAAGGAGATTTCCTGTACCTTAAATACTATAGGCAAATAAGACGATTACTTAGTTTATTTGTTTAATAATAATCATATAATCAGATAATCAGATCACAATAAAAAGTTGGGTATTGGTTCACAGTTGGCAACATGGAACCGCTTCTATAGGTGACATAGATACTATGTTTATAATGTGAGTATAGTACAAGACTTGTACTATCTTGTTTTGTGTTTATTTTAAGTGTTATAAATTACTTAAAAATTAACCCCTGAAACCAAAGCCGAATATATAATACATTCGTATAAAGCAAGAAGAACAGAAAAGTTACAAAATTATCTTAAATTATAGCGCTTTGTAGTATAGTAATGTTCTAGAAAAAAGATTATAAAAGTTTTCTTTTCTAAAAACTACTGTAACATGGAATTGCACGAGAACTAGATAGCATTTTGACACAAAGTATTACTAGATAGGATTATCCTAGGCCGCTACATCACATAAACAAAATTCTATATTGGAACACAATTCAATTTTGTTTGCTTTGCACTTTATTTTAACACGATAAAAGATAGTCTATGTTACTCAGAAATAATGTACCATTTTTATGGTGAAATAATTTTTGAATTCGGTCTTGTAGTTTATGAGTTTATTCGATACTAAAACTACAAATCTTTCCTCTTCAAAATACGAGTTTAAATACATCGATAATAAAAAAAAACTAATCACATTTCGGACGATAAAGATTTCGACAAACAAAACGATAACGCGTTATGCGTAATGAGAATATCATAATATCCCACACGATACGATTAGATGACGAAAACAATTTCATGTTTTCGGACGCCGCGAAGCGCCCGCCCGCCGTAAAGAATCTGTGGCATTTCAATCATGAGACCCTGAGCTGGAATGCTCCGTTACACGTAAAACAATCTGTTACGTGTAGTAGATGCCATAAATAATGCCACGTTATTTAATGCGTAACGGAGTTTTTATGATTCAGACCGTTTTTTTTCGCTTTTCTTGCTCCGCGGCAGATATCGGCGCGTTGTAAACAGCTCATTATTCTTTGACATTCGATTTCAAATATTTCACAATTGAAATTTATGTGATGAATATAAATTAGTACATTTGTGTGTGTTTTATATATATTGAATTGGGTTTTGTCCCTTATTCTTGAACAACAAAAATTACACAGCTACTTATTATTGCACATTTTTGTTGTTCGACTATAAAAATAATTTTTGAAGTCCATAAAGTTTTGTTCTATTATTTATATTTTTCATTAAGAATACCCAGTGTATTCTGTGAAACAAAACCAAAATTATGTTATTCTTAGATGAAATTGTAATCCATTTCAAGGACCTTAAAACACGTGTAGCGAAGTTCTTGCGAGTTCTTCAAGTTTTGATTAGTAACAAGAAAGTACGACAAAAATATTATTAAGTTCAGGGTTTGTTGTGTTTCCTTTTATCTTTTGTTTTTCATTTCAATGAAGTCTGTTAGGGACATTGTAAGATTATTCCATGGAATCTGTAAACTTAATTATAAATGTACAATAATTTGAGTTTTATTAAATATTTTGAAGGTGTTTTTTTTTGAGTTCATGGCATCCTTTTAATCTACCTAAAACAGGCCACTGTACTTTTAATAATGCCATAGCTGAAAGATGTACTGCTCGGATAGTAGCGATAAAAAATGTGAACTATTATAATGAGCTGTTATGATCCAGCTTCCTTTTTAGGATTCCGTAGTCCTGACAAGGAACTCGTATGGTTTCGTCATGACCGTCTGTCTGTCCGTCCCCGGTTTAGCTTGGAGGCTGTTAGCACTAGAGAGCTGTGATTTTGTGGAGATAGATCACTTATACCGACAAAATGGTAGCATAAATTTTTATTAAATATTTTTTTAGAGTAGCTCCCCTACGTGTAACCTGCGGCTGATTTTTTTTTCATCGTGTACCCCATTGTGTGGGGTATCGTTGAATAGGTCCGTTAAAATAACTTCCAAATTCTCAAGACTATTTTTCGATTTAGGGATCCTTTAATGAAATATTGAACTTTAAAGTGTTAATTTTTGTTTGTGTAGGGTCCCCTCCTCCCCTCTAAAAGCACTACACTATTGGCTTGAAAAACCTGGAAAAATTCATGATAATAGTGCTTTTTATGAAATTTTAAGGAAACTTATAACGCTTAAAATAGATTTGATAGTTTAAGAGTAATAGTCGTTCAACTATTGTATGTATTAGAAAAATTCTTTCCTAAAAAAAATCTTAGAAGAAAACATTAAATGTGACTTAGACGAAGTAATTTTTTAACATTAGACTCTTTTCAAAACATATTGTGGTGACGACGTGCAACTACGGAACCCTACACTGCGCATGACATGACACGCACTTTGCTGGTTTTTTTTTTAAATTATTAATTACCGTCCGAAATGTCAAAAATTAGAACCCTGCAAGCAGAGAAATAAAATGCAATGGCTTCTTTGTTTTTTTAACGTGATTACGTCTTCCAAATTGATGAACACCGGCTGCGTGCAGAAAAAGTGTGTCATGTCACGAGTCACGTTATGCGACGTCATGTCAAGTTAGTTCAACATTCCGCGGTGTGTGTGCGGTGAGGTCGAGGGGTTCCTTAGAGCCCTGCCACCTGACTAAGCGTGCAGAAGTAAGAGACAGCTGACAGACATTTGGCATTGTAATATTAGTATGGAAGTTTTTCATACCTATACTATATACTATCCAAGTATATATAATATGGATCTCACAGTTACAATTACAGCGAAAAAGATCACGTTGCATTGCGCCATACAATGGAAAAAGGATTTACCGCCCAAAGCTCATTTGGGAAACAAAAGTTTGTACTCACTTTCCGTATTCATCTTTCGAGAACGTGGGTTTGTGGTTTTTGTCAAAGCTGCCACTGAATGCTGTCACTTTTTGGAGCTCGCTGTGGTTCTGCGCTCTTGTGTCGAATGCTGATATGAGGTCTGTTAAAGATGAGCTCTGTAACAAAATGAACGGTTTTTTTTACATCAAATTCATTCCGCTTTTAATGAAATTCAGGTTATGGGTAAAATTAATGCGACCCAAAGAACAAACTCGTATTAAGATTGAAATAAATATGATTAGTTTGCAATTTGCTCAGCTTATTGAATAAAAATAATTATAATTGTTTTATACCAGAGCACGAGTGCCATTAATCATATCATTATTAATGGTGTTTTTTTTATATTTTACAGAAACGGTAGTTAATAATGCACCGATCTTTAATTTTCCTTTTTAGTTCAGCAAAGTACTTGGACTGAAAGTAAAATTATTTTATAAGTTTAACCAATTTCAAATAACTTTAGAAAGCTATCCACATGATTTCTGGTTACATATTAATTTTGACTTCGGATACGTTAGTACGTTTTAAAAAACACACTTGGTTTTATCAGGTACAAAAGAGGAATCTATTGTGTTATGCCTTCAACTTTGGCTTCGAAATTTAGTAAAAAGTTCCTCGAAACCGCTACCGCTACCTATAATAATGAAGTTGTCACACGTGTGATCCCTGACCTATTCTGCTATTGTGTTGTTATGGAATACACACACTGAAATAAAAATCATTAAACAGTGTCATTTATTGTCTATCTGCTTGTTATTATTATTAAGCTAAAATGTGTCTCTGTAATTTCCTACATAGATAGAACCAACAATTTTTTCTATAAGAAAAATAATTTACATAGCACTTTCATTTTATTTACAGCACTTAGTTTTCACAACTTGTTCACGTATAAAATTTGGTATCAAATCAGCACCCTTCACTATTTTTACTAACGATTTCAAGCACGCTTCTACTATAATACACACAATCACAGAATTTAATAAATAACCGTCTTTCAAATTTCAACTAAATTAAAACTCATCCTAAAATACGCTTAAACAGCATTGCTCAAGCATGGTGTACACCAAAAGCACCGGCTTCCCAATGAAGAGAAGATAAAATAGTTCTTTTTTAAAAAAAACGCTCTACCATTAAAGCTAAACCTTCATTGTGACACTTTGAAACAAGTCAAAATAAGTTTTTTATGTAACCTTATATAAGTGTAGAAACATCTGATATTATTTATCAAACAAAACAAAAAATCTACTAACACGCATTGACTTCTAATACATAATTATATAAGTACCTATCTGATTTCCAACGATGTACCTACTCAATAAGTTTAGAGTTACCCTACATATAAAATGCTTCATTCAAGGTATATAACATGAAACCCAAAACCGTTTCCATGGAAATATTTCAAATGAGAGTAAGATCAAACGGGAATTACTTAATATTAAGAAGGCAGCAAACTTAAATATGTCACCAAATAATAGTACATACTCCAGACACTTTCATATTATTGAGGTGTCTATCTATGCTATGATTAAAGAACGAATTATGTCATTTTAAACAGGTTGTTTATCACGGCAGCGGCGCGGCGTCGCGACCGACGACGCATTAAAATATTGCGCCAAAAGATTTGTATTCGCGAAAACAGGATTTAATAGTGTCGGGTTCTATTCAAACACTCATCGAACTTAATGAGTGAATGGTATTTATGAGAATTTTATTTGCGAGTGAATGAATGAGAGAATTAGTCAAAACTAATTCAAACGGGCTGTCACTGTATTAAACACGTAAGTCCGAGTTGGCAATGTTTAAGCAGACACTCCAGAAATAGCAACAGAATAAATACTGCTCGATGATAGTACTTTTGTCGCGGAGAGTTTAAAAATACCCATGTGTTTTGAACGGTCGAGAGTATGATACAATGGATGTATTGTGAAGTATTTTTAAAATGGTGACTGTACCCGGTTCGGTGTCGATACAATTTAAGAGTAGGAATGGGAAATGAGTTCTGGCAAGCGTCATTTGTTTGTTTGATTCTCACAAGCAATTCGTATCCCAATCTCTGTCATAATTAGCAGTCTGATGTTCACACTGTGTTGTATAGGCCTTACTAAATACAAAATTTATTAACAAATGTGGGTTGGTGGTAAATATTGGTCCACTGATCCGTTTAGTTGTCGAAGCGGGGATTTACTCGAGCGCGGCAGAATAACATATATCCTTGCACCTTTTGAAGTACTCCTACTATACTTGAGCCCTTTACCTAGGATCGAACGTCCAGGCCAGTAAAAAAGAAATTCAACAAAGCCATGATTTTTGATCACGTCCAAATCGTCAGTTTTTTTACAACAAGCTACTGAAGGGTTCACAAGACATTTCTGGTGACGGAAAAAGTATTATTCTACCGGTTTGCATGGTGTGGAAGTGGCCATACCAAGGTGTAGAATATAGGAAAAAAATTTTGATCGCGCCAGACATTTAGAAGGGATGTTACGTGAAGCCTCCAGTAGCTCCTATTCAAAAGACTGACGATTTGGACGCAGCCAAAAGTCATGGCCGTTTCTTGTTTTTTTTTTTTGCTGCCCTAGTCGTTCGACCCTATTTAAAGGGCTCAGGTATGGTGGGAATACTTTGCAAGGTGCTAGTTTGCCCCCCTTATGTGTAGTGGCTTCGTGGCGACCACTCAATTTGTTTCGTTTCTTTTGGGGACTGCATCTAGTAACTTGACTGAGCCACTAGTGGTCGCATTTATTGGCTCAATGTGGGCTTGCTCTAAGTGCCTTTAAATAATCGAAGAAGATTTAAATAATATTTTTCACTTATTTTAAAAATACAAAAAAAATTGGTTGACATCCGTAGTCGCAGATTTAATGCAACAATCGCTGCTCTATTAGGATTCTAGCCTTTTTTTACAACTCGATCTGCTTTTAACCACAAAGTTAAAAATAAAACTTAGCTCAAGTAACGTTTTTAAATCTAAAATAATATTTACTTTACTTTTACTGAAAGCTCTATTAATTTATTTATAATATTTACATTATAATATTTAAATTACAAAGAATAAAACTAATTATAGTCTAAAAACTTAAAGAGAATTAAATACTTAAATATTATACAACCTACAAAATAAAAAAATCTATCACCCCCCGCGCTGACGTCAGTAATGGTGCCCAATAGGCTGGCAGCATTTCCACGTTGGATAGCAATGCTAACCCGTTGACCAATAGCTGACAGCCTTTTGATCACCAGTCGCCTCGGTGAGTCTCTTAGTCAATTCTTTAATAAAGGAACGGGCGCTCGGACCCCATGGTCCCATAGTCTCAACGCCAAACGGCACGGCAATATAGAACATATTGCCGTGAGAGCTGAATATTTGTGCCGCTTGGAGCACTCGGCGGAAGCCGCCGCCGCGCCCGCAGCAAGGGAGGTACTACCTGTATGCCACGGAGCAAGCGTTCCATATTTTATCCATCAGAAAAAAAGTAAGGTCGGCGGCCTTTTCTTACTTTAATACAAATATTTTCAGTATGGACGAATTATATATCGTTTCCTACTGTACGAATTTAATTCCAGAGTTTATTGGAAAGGTTTATTTGATCTAATCAGTGGTCAACAAGCTATGTTTGCATAACCCATGCCTGTTGAACTCGTGTCCCATGAGGAACAATATTTGTTTGATGTAAGCCAATACCTTCATGTTAATATTTACATGTAAATATGTCACTAATGATTTATGTAGATTGTGGTTCTTTGATATTTGACTTAATTAATCTTAAATAATCTTGAAGCAGGATATTTTTTTTTCTTTTATTTGGAAAAACGCTTGCAAAGTATTATTACGGTCCGCTTGATGGTGAAGACGCATGCAGTGATACAATAATATTACTAAGGTACGCATTTTCTACTCCGTCCTATACACAATGTTTTTTAAATTAGGTTTAGTAGTAGTTAAGAGAGGTAGAGTATAGAGCACATAGTTACTGTCGGTGGTTCGGTTCTAGGGCTCCACAGGGTAGCGGATTGAGTCACTCAGGGTAGGCAAAAGCGCGAATGATATTTTTTTGTATCGCATGCGTCTATAGTATATGTTTAGGCGGGCCACCATCAGGCGGGCCATATACTTGTTTTAACATAAAAAAACGTTCCATCAAGAAAACCTTATAGTTATATTTTTTAGGCAAATAACTGCTTGATGTTTTTTCTAGTATAATTTTCTTTAGATGTAAACAGACTGCTAGAGTCATTTGCTTAAAAAAATAATAATAATACTATAATTGCTATTACTTCTTTCAAATGTTTAATACCTGTGAAGGTATTAATTTGACATTGTGAGTTACCTACCATGCGAAGAGATGGCGCTGCCTTGCAGACTAAGGCTATATCAAATTCGACACGGCAATCAGGGCCGCGGTAGTAGGGTCAGTGCATTCGCCCGGATAGCGAAGGGTGCGGGTTCGAGTCCCATCTGCTGCCTGGTCCATGTGGAATTCATTGTTGTATTATTCTCTTTAAATTTAAAGTTTTATTAAACTATATAGATGAAAGTGATACGTGATGGCGGCCGATTACCATCACGCTACCGTTAAGCGTGTATGCCGCCCTTTTAATATAAAAACATGCTTATTTTTAAATATACAATGAAAATAACACTTACCAACGAATTCTTTAAAAGTTGTTGTTAAGTATTTATTTTTAACCGTCATGATAATTTGAAACTGTAGAATGTGCATTACTAAAAATAAAAAAAGGACAAACATAATTCTGAAAACAAATCTATTAAACGCAATTTCTCTCGCGTAATGAATGGGAATAAAAGTTACTCAGCAAATACTTTTAGCAAATAATTTCAAAACATTCCCCAAAAACACAATATGCAGGGCAATTATATATGAATGTGATTGTAAGAAAAAAAAATGTTCCCAGAATTTATCGGAAATCGGAGCAATCTAATTGGCATTTAAAATGGTTCACGTATAATTTATTGTCAACTTACGTTGCTCACAACACGGACAAGATCTTCAGGTGTATGTTGCTTGTAGACTTCCCTACTAATTATTTTACTCGAATTTCCTGAAAAATCTGGTAGATAACGTTTACGTGCAAGTGATCCAATTTACATGAGATTTGTGGAAAATTATGTCAAAATGTTTTTTTTAAATAAACGGTTGTATTCTATTAAGGTGCTATAATTAAACAACGGGTGGTGGTAGATGCATGATTAACTCATTATGACATCTCATTTATCAAATTATAATTTCAATTAAGATTAATATAAGTTTTTTATTAACATTGTTGGAATTATAATAATTAATAGTTAACTGAATGAAATAACATTGCATGTCAGCAAGACAGAATATGGCTGAACTAAATATAATTTGTATGTTTGTACACAACAATAACCTGTATTCGCAATAAAATTGATTTGAATTTTTAAAAGTTAAATGTGACTTTAGTCACTATCACGTCAAAACTAATAGTCACATTTAACTATGTATCAAACAACGGGGCAACTTTTCCACTAGTGTTCCTACTCCGTGTAATGTGGGCCGCGGGCCAGAGTTCAGTTGCCTACTAAGCCGGGGCCTGCCGTCAATAACTTGTTAGTGCATTTTATATTCCTTATGAGAGTTTGATAAGCGGAATTTGCGCTAGGTCTGAATTGCCTGTCTGGGGAATTAATCACCTTACAAAGACGTTAACCATATAACACGATGCATCATTGTTGTAAGATAAGGCTTGACGGATCAGTGGATCCGTCCGGCCGTGGGGTTATACCCAGCGGCGGAGTGTGTCAAGCAGTTTCTCTAGGAGAAAAAAATGGAAGGTGTAGGTAGCGGAAAACTTCTTGAGCAGAGTCACAGACAAACTTGCACAGTCGAAGTTTTTGTATGTAAAATTGCTACCACTCAAGCTAACTTGTCTATAGTCGATGCTCTTGAAGTTTGCCGGTGTGTATAACGCGAGAGTGATACCTAAATGCTACATGGTATGACAAGTTTCTATAACTACGGGGAGCGGCCACGAGCGAAGAAGCGAAACTCACAGCGACGGGCCTTCGGACCGTCGCACAGTGGTGAAATTTACTTCGATCCGACGCATCGCATCGTGGTGTAAGTAAAGTTAATGTATACCCATAGGTGGGTCATATAAATCATTGCTAGTTACCAACCATTTAAGTAAAAAATCACGTAGCCTGTAGATAGACTGGGAGTAAAGACAACTATTAAAATATGTCAACTGCTGATTTTTGTGATAAATAGTGATGAATACGATGGACGGCTCAAGTGGTGTGAAAGAAGTTATGATGTCGATGTTATTATACAAATCTCTGTCTTTGCTATTTGCATAGTAATTAATCAACTTTGATACTTTCTCAAAGCATAGAGTGGAAATAAGATAATAAAGGTTGTTTGGTTCCCTTATTTCAAAATATGAATTTTGATCAAGAATTTAAATTAGGCACACATTGAGTAGTGGGGGAAGAGGGCGTTAATTGAAGAAAAAATAAAACAAAAATAAATGTAAACAGTTAAATAGTGCAGGTTTAACATGAGACTTGAGACACATGACAAAATGCAAAAATCATGTTTTTTTTTAAATTCATACAAACGTTTGACATCTCTCTCTTCAACTGAAAAAAAAGAATAAATGGAATATTAGAAAAAAAACTAGGCTCAAAAAAAATTTTTTTTGCTTTGTCATAGTTATTGCTTACAAAAAATCGATTAAAAAGAGTTTTACTATACTTCGCTTTTGTTCATATAGTTTCGAGCATTTTGTGCAAAAGAAGAATAGCTTGGATTGAACAGATAAAAATAACTTTCGTGAAAAACCACCGCTCCCTATTTAACATTTTTTCAGTGAAATCACCTACTTACGTTGTTTTGATGTTAACTTTCATCCACACCAATGCTTTAAATCAGCTATAAAAGATTTAGAAATAGTGAGTTTTTTGCCAAAATTAAAACTACCAAAGTCCTAATAATCAAACGGGTACTAATAATAATGTTGTAATTATATTTTTTATTACTTTAATAATGTTGTACTTAGAAATATAACTCCTTAGCTTTTTCGATCATTTCCACGCAAAGTGCACAGATCTGCATCAAACAGCCATATTCTTACTGTTAGGTGCGTGGTATAGCACGATATTCATAAGAAACTGAACTCAGTGATACGAGTAAGTCATTATGTCAACAATAGCCATTGTTGCCAGTATCGGTAATATAAATTCGACTATGAATACGGTGATATTTACATAAAAATATAAACAGACTTGTGTATTAATTAAAAAAAAGATATTGTCATCTACGCGCCTTTCACTACCACAGAGCCGAAACCTTTAAGTTGTTAGAAAACCTTCAGAACCTTTTATAAAGGATTCATATCATGGATTTAGATAAAGTATTGTATGCAATTGTTTATAATTAGGTATTAAAACATTCATGTGATACTATTATCACAAACCCACATTCGTAAATAACTATAAATTGTTAGCAGAAACACAAATTATACCTGTTTTTCGAATATGAGTTTTTCAGAATGTGAACTAACATACCAACTATAAGTTTATGTAATGACTCTGCATCGAAAACTGTTGTAGAAAAAAAATCTAATGGTTCGTATTCACACGGCAGTACGGTATTAATCGATAGTCTTACTCTAAAGCAAAAAAAGGTGTAGATGTATGGACCGCAAATTTAACAATTAGGAGGAAAGGGACGATTCTGTAGGACTAGACGCATTGTTTTATTACTCGCTTTAAGGTACAATTCCGCAATGGGCTGCAGGCGCAACCGCAGGACACTGCGGCTAGCGCCTGCGATTGACCGTGCATTATACTATGTGCAGCCCGGATTGTCGCCGCGCTCGGAATTTTATTTTTATTTTTAATCTTTATTGACCAAAATACATAACATTGGTGTAAAAGGCGGAGTTAATGCTAAAAGCATTCTCTCCCAGTCAACCTTTGGGAAAAATGTAAAAACACGAACGGCGGTATAAAGCTAAATACGAATACATATACAAATTAACATAGGTACATATATAAATAGATACTATAAAAAGAATATAATACATACAAACATAACGCACTAATATTGAAATATATACAGTATACATAATAATGATTAATAAAATGTCACTTCATCTTAAGTTTTGCAACAGATGAGCGTGAACATTCCTTTTAAATATAAGTTTACTAGGTTCTTTATCATCATTGTCATCAGCCTATTAATGTCCCCGCTGCTGGGGCACAGGCCTTCCCTGATGGAATGAAATTCTTAAGACTGACTCTTAAGAGTCTATCTATTAAGA